GTTTACGTATGACACGTTCGGACAAATAGAAACAGCAAATTGGAACCCACTCAGGCAAACTGTATTTATATGTAACTGTATTTATATGCAAAACAACTATGTCCAAGTTATGTCAGCAGAACATTATGTAGTTATGCATTATTGCAACTGACCATAAATTAGAAGTAAATGTAGAAAACATAAACGTGGAGGAGCTCTTTTTGGTCCTTCCATTGACTGCTAGAGTTAATATGTTCATGGAAACAACAATAGTTAACAAGGTTTAGCATTTTCTCTTTCACTTAAAGAATAAGCCTGACACTGCATTGTGAAATGGACTTTCATAAGTTTCCAATGGACGAGCAAAAATGTGGTCTACAAGTTGAAAGTTGTAAGTATGACATTGAAGTTCTTCGTTATTTCCCCCATAGCGTTAAGAGGTATACTAAACTGTTTATAACTTACATGTAGTAGAACCTGGATATCCCAAGACCCTTTAGGTAAACATTGATATATTGGCGCAGTATATGACTATAACTCACTGACAACATACACAAGTCTAGGTATTTAGTCATCATTATCATCATACCAAATTTAACTCGATCTGATTAATTGACGTTGATCAAGAATTGTTTTAGAAACAATATAGAAGTTATAATAGAACAAGTCGGCAACACAGTGGTCAATTATGATTATTTGTTGGCTTTCAGTTCAGTACACTACTGCTGAGCTGGTGTTTGAGTGGATAGAAAACGAACCGGCTGAATTCTACCCAGGACATCTCAAACTACCCCAGTATGCTCTGATAGATACAGTCACAACCAATTGCACCAAACAACTGAAAACAGGTATTTACGATAACTTGTAAAGTAGCACATATACACGATGGCTAAGGCCAATAGAACTATAATAATAATAATAATACAGATTTCATAACTGCTCACAGTACAATGCCGCATACATCATTTGCATTATGTTTCAGACATGCGCAGTATTGGTGGCAATTCTGCAATTGTATGTTTGTCCCATATGCATCCCATATTCAGATATTGTCCGTCCACCTTTCCAAATTACACTCCCAGCATTTATATCAATGAAATTCACTTACTTTTAGGTTGGTATACGTGCATTGGTCTGACATTTATACTGAATCGGGAATTAGGATACTATCTACTTCAGACTTACATACCCAGCATATTACTTATTATACTATCATGGGTGTCATTTTGGATTGACATCAAGATGTCTCCTGCCCGCGTAGCCCTCGGAATTACCAGTGTACTGACCATGATAACAACCTTAAACGGTGTCAGGGGAGATCTACCTCATGTGTCCTATATTAAGGTGAGTGACCTTAATGAAACAATGGTGACTGACCATGAACTATCAATTAATGAACAAACGGGTATTCAGATATTGTAGAGTGAAATCGTTTGCAACAGTTTGGTGCCATGTGCCCACTCACGGGCGAATTTGGTAGCCTATACTTGCTATACAGCTTTAAATTATAACATTAATTAGGCAAAAGGGTTTGCTCTATTCACATTGTGTGAGTTGTACTAATTATAAAACAACATTTGCAGAATTATTAAAGTAATTTAAGAACTTTCTTTTTTTTACCGACTTCCCGCTCTTAAGTCATGTTTATATTTTCAAAGACCTACAATCATTCTTTTTATTAACGCTTGGAGTGGCCGTATACAAAATATCAGACCAACGAAGTTAATCTATTAAGAAGTTAATGTATACAATATTGTTTGCAGGCAATTGACGTATGGTTTGCAATGTGTCTCGTATTCGTGGTGGGATCTCTCATAGAATACGCAATTGTTCACTACCTTTCCACCAACAGAATTGGAGTGTGGAATCACCGAACACCCTCGAAGTTGAAGAAGGTACAACTTTAACACAATATAAGCTGTTTGTAATGAAGAATATACAATATCTCAGTTATGTCACATACATACATATATTATGTATGGAAGTATATACTCTACAAAGGTATACACTAGAACAGTTATATCACATACATATATAATGTATTGAAGTATATACTCAACAATGATATACACTAGCACAGTTATGTCACATACATATATAATGTACGGAAGTATATACTCAACAATGATATACACTAGCACAGTTATGTCACATACATATATAATGTACGGAAGTATATACTCAACAATGATATACACTAGCACAGTTATGTCACATACATATATAATGTATGAAATTATATACTCTACAAAGGTATACAATAGCACAGTTATGTCACGTACATATCTAATGTATGGAAGTATATTTACAATAATGATATACAATATCACAGTTATATCACATACATATAATGTATGGATGTATATATATACTCACCAATGTGTTTTTGTTATTTCAGTCGGACAATTATTCAGGAGATTGTTGTGTCAGTTTGACTATAGTCGATCGCTCCATGCCACCTTTGTACAACAGCAGGTTACCAAGCACCACAATAAACAAAATCGAGTCATCCCAATCTAATGCTAGTGATGAAGGAAAGATCTGGATTCGTGGCAATTGCAGCCGGAAGTCAGAAGCAATATACAACACTGGTACAAGAATAGATAAAGTCTGTCGTGTTGCATTCCCTGTTGCCTTTGTTTTGTTTAATATATGTTACTGGTGTTACTACAAACTTGTTTGAGCCAGAGCCGACCATACCATCAGGCTACAATTGTTTGTTCTTAATCAAATATATACCTCAGTGTGAGATTAACAGAACTAGGTGTCAGTCATATTTATAGCTCACGTTCAAAAACTAAATTAGCCAAGTAGAATTTAATATGGCTGGCTGAACCCTCTTCAACTACAAGTCAATAATGTATGTACCAACAAATTATTATTAGTTGCTGCCAATTACTTTGAATTGCATTGTTTAGACATTGTCTATAGGTATAATACCGACGCAGTAAGCACTGTTTGTTTGTTTGTTTGTTTGTAAGTTGGTATTTGGGCAAAGAGGAACAGCTCTGGCGTCAGACATGTTTGAAATACAGAGTGTGAATGAAATCACCAAAAATGGTACCCACGAAGACCCGAGCTGGGGCCAGGTCAAATGTTAAGAACACAATCATGACCAATGACAGCTAGAGCCTTTGATACAATGTTTGCATGCAATATACAAATATTTGTTGTGTGTGTGTCTTTTTCTGTTGCTAAAAAATCAATCCATAAGACAGCTCAACAAAAGCTGACAGAATGTTTTTCTTGAAGGAAGACACTGCTTCATACTACTTCCAAAGTAAAATGTCTAATGACTCCTGCTGTAAATGTCCGTACATTGCGGACTAGCATAGAGTAAACAGACACCGGTCGGCCATTGGAACTGGAACACAATTTATTATAATGAGCATCTCCATATATAGAATTACACGTCATTGATATGTTAATGTTATGAAGTCATACTCAGGTCATACAAGGTTAATACACTACATTCCTCCTCACTAATGCGAATGTCAGTCTCATATCAATTTCGAGATATGGAAGTCAAGTATATATGAGAGATGAGAAATGAGAATCAATGTATATAATATCAATAAAAACTTGATGAATATAATGTATAATAATAAACTCAATGGGTAATATCGAATAAAAAACAATCGTCCAGACTCTGGTGTAGTGGTTGGGTTGATCTTCTCCTGGTGCTGGTGGAGTTGATTGTTGTACTATATCATGCATGCTGCTATTATCCAATGGTAGTGTTACTGTAGGCACAATCATCGGATCAGATGTGATGAAATCATCAGAATTATTTTGTAAAGGTACATTTGACCATTGAAGTTGGTCAATGTGGCATCGCAATATGACGCTTGGTAAGATTTCAACTTTTTTCTGTGATTATTCCTGGTACCATTTCGTTCCTTGTTAGGTAATCGCGTGCTGAAACTTTGTCACCTATGTCGAGTTGACGATCATGTGAAGTATATCTTGTAGCAGATTGCTCGAACTGTTGCTGAGTGTCATCTCTACAAATATCTGGTTTCATCTAAATCTAGGCAGGTGCATAGATGTCTTTTCTTTAGCAATAATGCTGATGTCTGATCTGTGCAACGGATTTGACGGATCTTTCTGCAAATCCATTGGTTGACAAATGATATGGCGTGGAAGTGATATGGTTTATTTCGTTATACTTCATGAAGTGTTTGAAGTCTTTGGTTACAAACTGTGGGCCATTATCACTTACTAGAATATCTGGAATACCTTCTTGTGCGAATAGAGTAAGTATTAGTTCTATTGGCCACTTTTGAGTGTGTATCAATGATATACATTTGTCTATGAAATGGTCCTGCATAATCTACATGAACTCGTTGCCATGGTGATTCCGGCCAGTCCTAAAGGTGCAGTGGTGCGACTCTAGGCATACTTTGGTGTTCTTGACATCCTGGGCACTGTTTGGTTATATGCTCGATGTCTTTATCAATGCCTGGTCACTATATGTAACTTCTGGCAAGTGCCTTCATTTTGCCTTGAGGACCAGTGTGTAGCTCTTCTAGCACATAATTGCAAAGTTTTGTTGGAATTATAACTCGTATACCCCACATAAGACAACCTTGATACACTGTTATCCCATCTTTACGCTGGTAGAATGCGCTAAGATCTTTATGATGAAGATGCCATCCATTCATTCATGGCCGCTTTATATACTCTCGAGAGTATCGGGTCTCGGAGTGTGTACATTCTCACATGAGAACTTGTTACTTGTAATGTATCAAATTGTGCGAGGTGTAAAATATCAACAGAATCTTCCCTCAGATTATGGGTGATGTCCAGGGGCAGCTGAGACAGACCATCTGCTTTGCAGTGTTTGGTAGTGTACTTATACTGGATATCATACGTGTATCCATTAAAAAATATTGTGCTAATACCTTGTCAGACGTTACAATTGTTTTGCTTCTTTGAAATCCTGGTTACACTTTTCAGTTTACTCGAACTTATGACCTTTCTGTAGTAGCTGGTTCAATGGATGCAAAACTGTAGATAAGTTTGACAGGAAATGGTGGTAATAATTGATTAATCCTAGGAATGCTCTAACTTGTGAGACATCATTTGGAGGTTGTGCGTTAACCACAGCATTGATCTTATCTTGCGTCATGTGTAATTTATCGATGGTGTGTGAGCAGAACTCGATTTCATCCTGAAAGAATTCACATTTATCCACATTATTCACTCGCAAATTGTGATCATTCAGCTTCTTCAGTACTGCATCAATGTTGGCGAGATGTTCCTCATCGTCCTTGCCAGTGATAATCATATCATCTATGATACATTTAGTGCGTTTAGCTCCTGACAATATCTGTTCAACAGAGCGCTGCCAAATTGCAGGAGCAGAGGCGATACCAAATACTAAGCGGTTATATCTATACAATCCCTTTGACGTATTTAGTGAGGAATTTCTTGGATTCTTCATCTACTTCAATTTGGTGGTACGCTTGGCGTAGGTCAATCTGGGTGAATTTCTTACAAACTGACAAGTTTCGAGAATATGTCTTGGTAGTGGGTACTGATCAACCTTCAGTACTGGATTCACAGTTCCCTTGTATTCACCATAAATGCGCACACTGTCATTTTTCTTTATGACTGGAATGATTGGTGTAGCCCATTCACTGTAGTCTACTTTGGTCAGAATTCTTTCATTTTCTAGTCTGTCTAATTCGGCCTCCTTCGGCCGTAGTGCATAAGGTACTTGTCTGGCCTTGGTTTGGCAGTATCTTCAACTACAAGTTTGCTTTCATTGTTCCCAGTCCATCCTGGAATAAAGTAGCATATTTGTCCAGTTTGGGTTTTAATCTCTTATCTGCTGGCGTTTTTGGTTTACTTGGTTTCACTTCTGAGCTTTTTATAATCTTGCCATGAGATCAGTGATACAGAGGCTCCAGTATCTAACCCCATTTGCAATGCCTTTTCTCTAAATATTGGAGTAACTCACATTGGTTTGCTGCGTGGTTTGTTGATACTGTGAACTTCTTGAATGGTTCCCATGTATTCAGTTTCATCACTGTCAGTTTTCTTCCACGACATGAATTCTGGGTGTATTTCTCTATTTGTGACACTTTTAATCACATGCCTTTGAAATATGTTCTTTCTTTTCACAATTGTGACATTATGCATCTTTAGATCCCATTTGTCTTGATCATGGCCTTTTTTCACATCTGTAGCATGGTGTTTTGCTGACAGTATGGTGCTCAGTACGACGTTTTGTATAGCTCACTTTATTAACAAAAAAATCACTTCCATGTGATCCATGTGATCTGTGTCAGCTGTCTCAATAGCAACTGCAGTCTTCAAGGCGTTTTCATAGCTTATAGTATCATCTTTAAGTAGGCGTTTCTGAATGGCTTCCATATTTAGACCACAAACAAATCTGTCATGTAATGCATCAAAAGTAATCACAAAAGTTGCAATCTTTTGCAAGTCGTCTCAACTCAGCTGCATAGGTGTTGACAGATTCCCTGTCTGTTGATCTCTTTTAAAGAAACGGAATCTGGCCACGATGATCAATGGCTTTGGAGAGGTGTGTCTATGTACGACATCAACAACCACCCTAAATGTTTTATCAGATGGTAGATCAGGAGATATCAAATTTCTTAGTAGAGTATACAGTAGGGACAGCAAGTGTATTGATGTCTGAATGTCATTCGCACTAAAATAATATTTTAGTCTTTCTATGTACATCTTCCATTCCTCTACACTTTCATCAAACGAATCTATCTTGCCAATCTGGAATCCTACCCTGCCTTGATGGGGTGATGGTGATCAAGACATGACAATTCAATTGAACGTTATTATTACTCACAGTTACTGCACACAGGCTTCCTCGTTGGCTAAGGATACACTTTTACGCGATCCGACAGAGAAACGGCACAAAACTTGTTTGTAAGTTCTCTGGTTTCTTTTTTTATGTATTCACACAGTAGCTGGGTGTTCAAATTCAAATCCTCATCGCCAATTTATGCTGTATATGTATGTATATTGCGGACTAGCATAGAGTAAACAGACACCAGTCGACCATTGGAAAGGGAACATCGCCATATATAGAATTACACGTCATTGATATGCTAATGTGATGATGTCATATTCAGGTTATACGAGGTTAATACATTACATCTCCAGCCTGATTTCAAACATCAAAAGCCTGAATAGATCCATTGTAAAGTTCGGAACAAGACCCTTTACAAAGAAGAACATGCCTATTGTGTGTGCAGCTTGTGATGCACATTGCTTGTTCTTGTCTCAGCGTTTGTCCAAGACAAACCAAGATTTCCCTTCATTGATAACAAAACCCCATAACTGCATTGGAGGCAATCATACTATCCTATGATGGAAATGCATGTCATGCTGTAAGGGTATGTGACATAACCACTGGTGTAGAGTGAACTATTACCATCCTGCTTCCTGCGTTGACAACAGTGGTGCCTACCAAATGGGGGGGGGGGGGTATTGGTACCACCTCAGAATTAGCTGTCAAAACGCAGTGAGACAATTCCAAAGACATTTTTATTCAGACAGTTGAGTAAAACCAAATGATTGCAATCTCTCTTTCACTGAACCATATGATGGGATGGATGCATGGTAGGAAACTCATAATGCTGGTAGCATCTACAATCCAATCTCATTTTGTTTAGACTGCACTAAAGGTCTGTATTCAAGTCCTCAAGTCCATAAAAAGTGTACCAAATCATACCAAGAAACAGAACCGCAAGTATGGAAACTGTCAGACAAAATTAAAGAAATCATAAAACCGTCAGATGGCTGCCAGACAGAGTCCATAACAAATTATAATCAAAGTTAAACTGTAAATAGCTCTCCTGTGATCAGAGCATGTATTATAAAGGTATAAGCTTTGCCTAATAAATGTAATTGCATGTAGGTCAATCCATCAATAAAATTGATCAAGATGTCTGAGAATCTATGACATACTGTATATGGAAACGCATGATTTTGATATGGGCATTTTGAAAAACATGCAAGGACACTATACTTGTAAACTAAGGGCACTAATGAGGCACTCTATGAATGAGGTATTTCTAGAGGTTGGGGTTTGTCTCGTCTGAAGTTGAATAAT